TGCCTTGAACAATTTCAACCAAACTTGGTACACAGATGACTTACTCTCTGGAAACTGAATACTGTGGGGGTAAGACACCCCTAACACCCATCAGGGTGTGTGTTCTGTTAAGATGCAGCCTGTTGTGCCTTAGAATGGCTTCTACTGTACTGCCGTAAAATGGCTTCTACTGTGCAGCGCAGTGGCGATGTCATGGTAACGATTTCACAGTACTCCACAAGGGGGCTTCCTCTGGAAAGGGGGAAAATCCAACGTTAGAAATTACCGTATTTTTTGGTGTATAAGATGCACCGGAGTGTAAGATGCACCAAGATTTTGAAGAGGTAAATTTTTTTAAAAAAAGGTTTTGCATTCTACAGGCCTCCCAAACCCTCTGCATGCCTTGTTTTTTGTGAAAACTGGGGGTTGGGGGAGGGGAGCAAAAAACAACCTGCTTTTCACACACACAAAAAAGAAAAGGGTGTGAAGAGGGTTTGGGAGGCTTGTAGACTGCTCCTGGGGGCTGGGGGGGGGCAAAAATGGCCCGTTTTTTGCTCATTTTTGCCCTTCCCATCCCCCCAAACACTCTGGAAGCCTCCTAAAGGCGATGCATGGCCATTTTTTGAAGGGGGCAGGGTTTCGGGAGGCCAAAAATGCTGTATTCAGTGTATAAGAACCCAGATTTTCACTCTCTCTTTTTTTTGGGTGTGGGAAAGGTGCATCTATCTGGAAGAATATGGTAAGTTTGGTCTGGACATTTCCAATACCTGGGCAATTCCGGGTTATTAGCTACAGTATTTTTCGGAGTATAAGACACACCGTTTTCCCCTTTAAAAAGACTGAAAATCTGGGTGCATCTTATACACCGAATAAAATATTTTTTGCCTCCTGAAGCCCCGCCCCCTTCACAAAAATGGCCATGCATAGCCTTTAGGAGGCTTGCAGAGAGCTCTTGTAGGCTGGGGAGGGCAGAAATGAGCAAAAAACGGGCCGTTCCCCCCCCCAGCACTCTATAAGCCTCCATAAGGCTATGCATGCAATTTGGGGGGGGGGGGCAGGCCTGTTTTTGCAAAAAAACGGACCGTTTTTGGGAGGTTTGCAGAGTGCAAAAACTTTTTTTTTCTTTTTGGAAAGCTCTTCAACAGATTGATGAGAATTACATTGATCAAGTGCTGTGCCAGCAGAAACAAAGTCTTAGGTGCTGCAGATTGTCAGAGATTTCCTTCTCCGGTACATGGATAAATACACCTGGAAACATCTACCTGCCTACCTACTCTCTCTCTCTCCCTACCTATCTACTGTATTTCTCTCTTCCCCCTATCTACCCATGTACCTACCTACTCTCCCCTCATCTACTGTATTTCTCTCTTTCTATTTCTCTCTCTCTATCCCTCTACCTACCTACTTACCTACACACACTCTCTCTCCTTACCTACTGTATTTCTCTCTCTCTTTTTCTCTCTCTCTCTATTCCTTTATCTCCCTACCTAGCTATCTCTTTCTCCCTACCTACCTACTGTATTTCTCTCTCTTTCTCTCCCTCTCTATCCTTCTATCTACCTACCTACTTTTTTTTTAAATTTGCCTCTTCAAAACCTTGGTGAGTCTTATACTGCGGTGTGTCTTATACTCCGAAAAATACGATATTTAAAAAAATTAAAATTGGAGTACGATTCATATTTTAATACAATATATATATATATATATATA